TATATATTGGGTGTTCACCTTTCAGGTAAATTGATTTAATGCTTTGCTAAATCAACGAGAATACGACATGCTGTTAATTTGTTGTAGATTTTTCTCTCGTAAGAGGGAAGCAAGTGGCGACCGTTCAAAAGAAAGAACAAAAGGCAAGGCAAAAACGCCTGAACAGGAACACGGTAGGCGTGGTGGTTTGAATCCGCATGCTCGAACCGTTAGTGGAATGCCGTCTCCCATGTTAGCTCGTAGCCCTACCGTTAGGATGGGATCACAGGTAAATTTTTAAATCAGCTTACGTTGTATTAAATTTTTTTGGAATACTTCAAATTTTTTTGAATTATTCCGATTTTCTTCAAATAATTCAAATTTTAATTAGTAAACTGTATAATAATGGAATTTACTATAGATCTAATAAGCGCTTAAACACAAATTTTTACATATACGTAAACATTCAAGTAAAACTTCTGCAGCATTTAATTCGAGATTTTACACGCTTTAATGTATGTCTTTGTAGAGTCAACAAAGCATTTCGTGAATTGTTTCACTTCTAATATAGCATATTAAATTATAAGCATTCTGTTAATAAAAGTTAGATTTTCACGGCTGGTAGAGTCTGACATCCTCAAGGAACGTAGCGAGGGCGTAAAGTCCTTCGCTGTGGTTAGTGATAAATAAATAATGGCGTTAGTTTTTTATTGGCGCATATTTTTACTTATTTATTAAATTTACAGGTTCATAAGCTTCTGTACAAATTAATATTTTTTTTTATTTTAGACGGATCTTAAAATTCAGCCCCCATCTGTCCCAGATCGTCAACAGAAACAAATGTCTGTGCCACAAACATCAGATGTTGAATCGATCGGAAATGAAGTGTTTGATTCAGAATGTTTAAAGCTTATTAACGAATATTTCTACGGTATAGCAATTGTATTTTTCAAACACATATAAAGAAATTTAAGCAAATTTTATTTTTAAACATTAGGTGTACGCATATTTCCTGGTCAAGATCCTACTCATATTTACATCGGTTGGGTAACCACTCAGTACCATTTGCACTCCAAAGATTTCAACCAAAGTCAAGTAAGGAAGGCCTCGGTTATATTAATTGATAATTATGATCGAGTTGTGGACTGGTAAGTTTTATATGAATATTCTCACTAACACCTATCATGATCATCATCCTATTTGCCTATTAGATGCGCTCTTGATTCAAATATTAAGAATTCCATAAGACTAACATGAGAAAAATATTTTTTCATTTAAACAGTTCTGTAGGAATTTCAAATATAGGTCAATTTGCAGTGAATCAAATTCTCTACGATTTTCTTTCTTATGGTTTTTAAGATATAAACACTAAATTAACCAAAATCATGATTTAATGTGTGTATCGACTGTTATTAATTAATTTGTTAAATAATATGTATGTGACTAAAAACCTAAATTATATATGAAGTTATTAATATATTTTATTTGTATTTAAAACTGTAAAATTTCTGGACCTATATTTATCATTTAAAGTTAATTTCCTCAAAATTCGCAAATTTTTCAGTCATATATTAGACTCGTCGAAATCATACATATGTACACTTAATGCGTATTTTTTAACAAGGCAACGGTTTAAATTATTACAGTGTCGACCGCCAGGCATGTTACATGGTTCGAGCGGATGAATTGTACAATCAGGTAACTCAAGATGCTACAGGAAAAGGTGCTTCGCAGGGCATGTTTATAGGCTGCTTTATAGATGCTGCAACTGGTATTATATCGTTTACTTGCGAAGGAAAGGAGACTAAACACCGATTTAAGGTAGTTTTCCTTTTTCGTTATTTATTATTATTCTATTATTATAAGTACAAAAGTACAAGCATGTATACTACACTGCTACAGAGATAATTACAGTCTCTTTGGAGACCAGTCTTAAAAAATAGATAATTAAAAACTAAGTAAAAGTTATGTTAGATGTTAGAATTAGGGTTGTCTTTTTCGTATTTAATGAAACAATATTTACAAATATTTGATTTCTAAAAAGTAAAAAGTATCAAACCGTAATTTTTCGTAAAGACAATTTATATATATTACTACTATTATAGGTTTACATCGTAATTATTCTGAAGATGCTGTGGAAGCAGACGAAGTAATGAATAAGCCGACAAATAAATCGACGAAGAGTATGCCACCCAGGCCACCTAGGAAAGGTTCCCTATCAAGAAATGTTTACGAAGTAGAACAAGGTATGATACGAATTCGCAATCCCAATTTTAAGCAGATCGATTGAATAGTACTTTACTTTTAGACGATAAATGTAAAAGAAAGTTTAAGCCGTATATAATACTACTTTATTTATCTTTAAGTTAATAGTGAAATATACAATACTAATATTTAAAACCCTACCTAAGAATTATAAATGAATGTCGATAACAAGAATAACGTGTCGTGTACGGTCAAGGATGTTCTATATTCTATACTAACAGTGTATCCTTGGAGCATGGTAAATCATACTATGAGGTTGAGACGTTGCCAGTTCTTTGCTTAAACAAAATGGTCATGTAAATATGGATTTTTATTATAAAAATTATTTCAAAATACGTCGTTAAAGTACATTTGATACCAATTTATGAAAGTAAAAAATTTCCAATCCAAAATTAAAATTGTAAATACTTCAAATATTTAAATTAAACACCGTGTGTTTCTAATGTTATTAAAAATGTAATACCTCATTAAACGTTAGTTAAAGCGCCTTGAAATATTTTCATGGCATTCAAATGAATTTATAGGTCTAGAGGCATCAAGTGGTAAGATTAATCGATCAACCAGTGAACTCGATTTGCATAGATATCATGACACAAGTCTTCAGACCAATAATCAAGAAAAAACAGACGACAAGAAAAAACGAGGCCGTTCACCTTTCAGGTAAATTGATTTAATGCTTTGCTAAATCAACGAGAATACGACATGCTGTTAATTTGTTGTAGATTTTTCTCTCGTAAGAGGGAAGCAAGTGGCGACCGTTCAAAAGAAAGAACAAAAGGCAAGGCAAAAACGCCTGAACAGGAACACGGTAGGCGTGGTGGTTTGAATCCGCATGCTCGAACCGTTAGTGGAATGCCGTCTCCCATGTTAGCTCGTAGCCCTACCGTTAGGATGGGATCACAGGTAAATTTTTAAATCAGCTTACGTTGTATTAAATTTTTTTGGAATACTTCAAATTTTTTTGAATTATTCCGATTTTCTTCAAATAATTCAAATTTTAATTAGTAAACTGTATAATAATGGAATTTACTATAGATCTAATAAGCGCTTAAACACAAATTTTTACATATACGTAAACATTCAAGTAAAACTTCTGCAGCATTTAATTCGAGATTTTACACGCTTTAATGTATGTCTTTGTAGAGTCAACAAAGCATTTCGTGAATTGTTTCACTTCTAATATAGCATATTAAATTATAAGCATTCTGTTAATAAAAGTTAGATTTTCACGGCTGGTAGAGTCTGACATCCTCAAGGAACGTAGCGAGGGCGTAAAGTCCTTCGCTGTGGTTAGTGATAAATAAATAATGGCGTTAGTTTTTTATTGGCGCATATTTTTACTTATTTATTAAATTTACAGGTTCATAAGCTTCTGTACAAATTAATATTTTTTTTTATTTTAGACGGATCTTAAAATTCAGCCCCCATCTGTCCCAGATCGTCAACAGAAACAAATGTCTGTGCCACAAACATCAGATGTTGAATCGATCGGAAATGAAGTGTTTGATTCAGAATGTTTAAAGCTTATTAACGAATATTTCTACGGTATAGCAATTGTATTTTTCAAACACATATAAAGAAATTTAAGCAAATTTTATTTTTAAACATTAGGTGTACGCATATTTCCTGGTCAAGATCCTACTCATATTTACATCGGTTGGGTAACCACTCAGTACCATTTGCACTCCAAAGATTTCAACCAAAGTCAAGTAAGGAAGGCCTCGGTTATATTAATTGATAATTATGATCGAGTTGTGGACTGGTAAGTTTTATATGAATATTCTCACTAACACCTATCATGATCATCATCCTATTTGCCTATTAGATGCGCTCTTGATTCAAATATTAAGAATTCCATAAGACTAACATGAGAAAAATATTTTTTCATTTAAACAGTTCTGTAGGAATTTCAAATATAGGTCAATTTGCAGTGAATCAAATTCTCTACGATTTTCTTTCTTATGGTTTTTAAGATATAAACACTAAATTAACCAAAATCATGATTTAATGTGTGTATCGACTGTTATTAATTAATTTGTTAAATAATATGTATGTGACTAAAAACCTAAATTATATATGAAGTTATTAATATATTTTATTTGTATTTAAAACTGTAAAATTTCTGGACCTATATTTATCATTTAAAGTTAATTTCCTCAAAATTCGCAAATTTTTCAGTCATATATTAGACTCGTCGAAATCATACATATGTACACTTAATGCGTATTTTTTAACAAGGCAACGGTTTAAATTATTACAGTGTCGACCGCCAGGCATGTTACATGGTTCGAGCGGATGAATTGTACAATCAGGTAACTCAAGATGCTACAGGAAAAGGTGCTTCGCAGGGCATGTTTATAGGCTGCTTTATAGATGCTGCAACTGGTATTATATCGTTTACTTGCGAAGGAAAGGAGACTAAACACCGATTTAAGGTAGTTTTCCTTTTTCGTTATTTATTATTATTCTATTATTATAAGTACAAAAGTACAAGCATGTATACTACACTGCTACAGAGATAATTACAGTCTCTTTGGAGACCAGTCTTAAAAAATAGATAATTAAAAACTAAGTAAAAGTTATATATTTTATTAATTAAACGAATTGATAATTTTTCAGATGGAACCGAATACAAAGCTATTTCCTGCTATATTTGTGGAGGCAACCAGCAAAGAAATTTTACAAATTGAACTAGGTCGAACGGCCACAACATTGCCCCTTTCAGCTGCCATTCTGCAAAACAGCGCTAAACACGTCACACCCCAATTTCCTCCCAGACTCAAGGTGCAATGTCTTAATCCACATCATTGGGCCAGAGTAAGTTCAATTGTTAAAAAAAACTAATTAAAAAAGTTTTCGTTTTTATGAGATTTTGTGAGAGAATTCCTTAATTTTCTGCAAACATATATTTTTTTATATTATTAGGTGCCGAATCAGAATTTACAAGTTCACGCTCTTAAACTGTCAGATATCAGAGGTTGGTCAATGCTTTGCGAAGATCCTGTTTCGATGTTAGCCTTGCACATACCTGAAGAAGACAGATGTATGGACATACTGGAACTGATCGAATTGGAAAAATTGCTCAGCTTCCACGCTCACACTCTCACTTTATATGCAGCTTTGTGTTATCAAAGCAACTACCGAGCTGCGCACGTCTTGTGCAAACACGTTGACCAAAAACAGTTATTGTACGCTATCAAATCCGAATATATGAGCGGACCTTTACGGCAAGGATTTTATGACTTATTGATTGCTATCCATTTGGAATCTACTGCGACGACCATGTAAGTGTATATTATGCGGCATTTTTAAATTATTTAATAATAATTGTTATGATTTAGTTAGATATTTCAATTATTCATTCAAACGTCTTTAATAATTTAAAAAGCAACTTATTAAGATGTGAATATATTAATTTTAAGGGAGGTTTGTAAGAACGAGTATGTTATTCCACTAGGACAGGAATTAAAAGATTTATATGAAGAACCTGAAATGGGTCATAGCTTGAGAAGGCTCAAAGTTGAATCGGTAATACCTATAATGAAAATGAGTGATATTGGGTATGTTGCAAGACTTTTTACGTAATTTCAACTATTAAATCGTTTTGTAATAAATATTTAAATTAAACACCGTGTGTTTCTAATGTTATTAAAAATGTAATACCTCATTAAACGTTAGTTAAAGCGCCTTGAAATATTTTCATGGCATTCAAATGAATTTATAGGTCTAGAGGCATCAAGTGGTAAGATTAATCGATCAACCAGTGAACTCGATTTGCATAGATATCATGACACAAGTCTTCAGACCAATAATCAAGAAAAAACAGACGACAAGAAAAAACGAGGCCGTTCACCTTTCAGGTAAATTGATTTAATGCTTTGCTAAATCAACGAGAATACGACATGCTGTTAATTTGTTGTAGATTTTTCTCTCGTAAGAGGGAAGCAAGTGGCGACCGTTCAAAAGAAAGAACAAAAGGCAAGGCAAAAACGCCTGAACAGGAACACGGTAGGCGTGGTGGTTTGAATCCGCATGCTCGAACCGTTAGTGGAATGCCGTCTCCCATGTTAGCTCGTAGCCCTACCGTTAGGATGGGATCACAGGTAAATTTTTAAATCAGCTTACGTTGTATTAAATTTTTTTGGAATACTTCAAATTTTTTTGAATTANATATAATTTAAAATATTACAATTATTGTTAGCTAAAATATGTTTAAATTGTGATGAAGGCCCCTTTTGAAGCTTGTCGATCGGCTTTTATTGGTGGGAAATTTACGCGATGAAGACGTCGAAAAGTTGCTGATTATGATTGATCCGGAAACGTGGGATCCTTTATTCGAAAAAGGTAAAGAATAAAATTACATTACTTTACTGTGTGATTATTTATTCTACTTTTGATCTGTTATTTTCTTTCCATTAAAGACGGCAAGGATGAACATCGTAAAGGGCTTTTACAAATGAAGATGGCCGAAGGTGCGAAACTGCAGATGTGCTACTTGTTACAACATCTTAATGATGTACAGCTCAGGCATAGGGTCGAATCTATCATTGCTTTCAGTCATGATTTCGTGGGTGATTTACAGACAGATCAACTGAGAAGATACATTGAAATTAAACAATCTGATTTGCCGTCTGCAGTTGCTGCTAAGAAAACTAAGGAGTTTAGGTGTCCTCCCAAAGAACAAATGAACACAATTTTGGGTTAGTTTTCAGATATGTGACTTTTAATAAATCCATAATTTGGATATTTACTATTTCTGTATTTTTTAAGCTTATTGGATAAAAACAATGCTATAATTCCTTTGATATTGTTTTGTATAGGCTTTAAAAACTTGGAAGAAGATGACAAAGAAAACTGTCCGATTGGAGAAGATTTATGTGATAGACTAAGAGGATTTCATGATGGTTTAATGTCCCAAGTGTCCCTTAATGCTCTTCAGGTCCCTCAAGATGCTGAAGTATGCCTTATTTCTGAATCTAATGAAAGTTATAAATTTACCTAATTACCACGTATATATTTTCAGAATCCTGATGATCAGCAAAAACCGAATCCTTTCAAACGTTTATATAATCTGATTAATGCTGTAAAAGAATTGGAGGAAGAGCCAAAAGAGGAACCAGAACCTGAACGTAAAATGCCTGAGGAAGTATTTAGAAAAGTTTTAATAGCCACAGTTGTTAGGTGGGCTGAAGAAGCTCAAATTGAAACTCCCAAACTAGTACGAGAAATGTTCAGGTAATATTTTTTTTATTTTCTAATATCCAATTTATTTAACTCGCTTTTTACTTCTCTAGTTTATTGGTTCGTCAATATGATTCGGTTGGAGCCCTTATACGAGCTCTCCAAAAAACTTACGTAATAAATGCAAAAACCAAACTAGACGTGGCTGAAATGTGGGTAGGACTGAGCCAAATTAGGACCCTGCTACCTGTACAGATGTCTCAAGAAGAAGAGGAACTAATGAGGGAACGGTTATGGTGAGTATAATTATATTTTGACATTTCTTAAGAATTCCTTCATGGATTTTTTTCTTTCACAGGAAACTTGTAAATAATCACACATTCTTTCAACATCCTGATCTTATTCGTATTCTTCGCATACACGAGAACGTTATGGCTGTAATGATCAACACATTAGGAAGAAGATCCCAGCAACAGGCCCAACCTGCTGAAGGAGAAACTGTCACAAAAGAAAAGGTATTTTCTGCATTATAAAATTATTTATTGATTAAGTAATAATTAATGTTTTTAAACCTGACTGAGTTTATTTTATAGTAATTTTCACAGATTTATTTTTATATTAAGTGTAGAAAAAATTAAGGTGCCAATTTATTTTGAAAAAGTCCTATATTTAAGATGAAATGTCTGTGCAAACAGTGTTTATATTTCATAACTCTTAAATCAGAAGAATATTTAATTTAATTATAGGACACTTCTCATGAGATGGTAGTGGCGTGTTGTCGATTTTTATGTTATTTTTGTCGTACTGGTAGACAGAATCAAAAAGCGATGTTCGAACATTTCGACTTTTTATTGGAAAATAGCAATATTTTACTGTCCAGACCTAGTTTAAGGGGATCAACACCTTTAGATGTGGCCTACTCTTCTTTAATGGAAAATACTGAGTTGGCATTAGCTCTAAGGTATATTGGCAACTGTTATTTATTTAATAGATACTTAAAACCACACTAATTGCAACTTGGTATTCAAAAATATTTAAATTGTACTGTACATTACTTGCTATTTTAGAGAACATTATTTGGAGAAAATTGCTATATATTTGTCACGATGTGGCTTGCAGTCAAATTCTGAGTTAGTAGAAAAAGGATATCCAGATTTAGGTTGGGATCCTGTGGAAGGAGAAAGATATCTCGATTTTCTTCGATTCTGTGTGTGGGTAAGTCATGCTATTAATTTATTATTTTTGTTAAAAAATATAAATGAAAACATTAATATTTCTTAAGGTCAATGGTGAAAGTGTAGAGGAAAATGCAAACCTAGTCATTCGTTTATTAATTCGTAGACCTGAATGTTTGGGTCCAGCCTTAAGAGGTGAAGGTGAAGGACTTTTAAGGGCGATTATAGATGCAAACAAGGTAAACCAGAAATTTATTGATGGGCTCGAAGAAAACAATTAATTTTGACTACTTAATCTTTAGATGTCAGAGCGTATTTCGGATCGCAGAAAAATGATGGAAGAAGCAGAAGGTACCGTAAATATGCCACAATTTTCGCATCCTTTACCAGAGAGTGATGAAGATGAAGACTACATCGATACAGGGGCAGCTATTTTAAATTTCTATTGCACTCTTGTCGATCTTTTGGGTCGATGTGCTCCTGACGCTTCTGTAATTGCGTTGGTAAGTTTTAAAATAACATTTTGTCAATAGTTTAGTCTTTAAATTCCCAAATTCACTTTATTTTAGGGCAAAAATGAATCTTTAAGAGCTCGTGCAATTCTGCGATCCCTCGTACCGCTGGAAGACTTACAAGGTGTCTTAAGTTTGAGGTTTACTCTTCAGAATCCTGCAGCTGGGGAAGAGAGACCGAAATCCGATATGCCCTCAGGTTTAATTCCTGCTCATAAACAGAGCGTTGTTTTATTTCTTGAACGCGTATATGGCATAGAAACCCAAGAGCTGTTTTACAAACTATTGGAAGAAGCATTCTTGCCAGATCTAAGGGCTGCAACCATGTTAGACAGAGTAAGTAAACTTAATAAACACCTATTTTCAAAAATTAACTGTTTGAGACTTTTCTGAAGTTCTTGTTCTTTGGCGAATAAAAAGCCCATTTTGCTTAATAGACTGGAACGGATTACAACTATCATAATTGATATTATTTTCAGAATGACGGTAGCGAATCTGATATGGCTCTCAGTATGAATCGCTACATTGGCAATTCTATATTACCTCTTCTAATTAAACACAGTAACTTTTACAACGAAGCAGAAAATTATGCGCCGCTTTTAGATGCAAGTCTTCACACTGTTTACCGTCTATCAAAGAACCGCATGCTTACCAAGGGTCAAAGAGAATGCGTGTCTGACTTTTTGGTCGCGCTTACCAGCCAAATGCAGCCTTCAATGTTGCTAAAGTTGCTCCGAAAGCTTACGATCGACGTTTCGAACCTATCCGAATACACGACCGTAGCTTTAAGACTATTGACATTGCATTACGAACGTTGCACACGTTATTATGGTTCAACTACCGGTCAAGGGCTTTACGGGACATCGTCGGATGAGGAGAAGCGGCTGACGATGATGCTTTTTTCGAATATTTTCGATTCTTTAAGTAAAATGGATTACGATCCCGAGTTGTTCGGAAAAGCACTACCGTGTCTTATTGCAATTGGATGTGCTCTGCCACCAGATTATTCGTTGTCTAAAAACTATGACGACGAATGGTATGCCAATAAGAGTTCAACAACAGGACCCAATGGGCCTTATAATCCCCAGCCAATCAATACGTTATCTATTCAACTAAATAACGACTTGAATCAAATCGTACAAAAGTTTTCTGAACATTACCACGACGCTTGGGCTTCACGTAAACTTGAAAATAGTTGGCAATATGGTGAGAACTGGTCCGAAACTAATAAAACACATCCAAGACTTAAACCTTATCACATGCTGAACGATTATGTAAGTTTATTATAATTACATACTTTTACTCTTCAATTCAACTTTAAAATTCGACTTAATCCGAATTATTAGTAACATTAAAAGTGTATCTTCTAACTTTTGTTAGCTCAAATAAATCCACTAATGAAATTTATTTTACAGGAAAAAGAAAGGTATAAGGAACCTGTTCGAGAATCCTTAAAAGCCCTTTTAGCAATCGGGTGGACAGTGGAACATTCAGAAGTGGACGTGCCCATGAGCAATAGGAGCTCGGTCAGAAGACAGTCAAAATCGGGAGAATCAAGTTCACCATTTAATTATAACCCACATCCGGTTGACATGACTAACCTTACATTGTCTCGAGAAATGCAAAACATGGCAGAACGTTTAGCTGAAAATGCTCATGATATTTGGGCAAAGAAGAAAAAGGAAGAATTGACTACATGTGGAGGAGGTATTCATCCTCAACTAGTGCCCTATGATCTGTTGACTGATAAAGAAAAGAAAAAGGACAGAGAACGATCCCAAGAATTTTTAAAATATTTGCAATACCAAGGATATAAATTGCATAAGTAAGTTTTTTTTTGTGGGGTTGAATATTAAAGATGGGACTGTATATTTTTTTCTAGGCCTTCTCGGGAACGTAAAACTGACGATGAGCAAACAACTGTTGGTCCTTCGGTTGAGTTCAGATTTGCATATTCGCTATTGGAAAAGTTAATTCAATATTCCGATCGTGCGACTGTAAACATGAAAATCTTGAAACCCTCCGCTATCTTTAGCCGGCGGACATCTTTCAGGACATCAAGCAGAGATATCAAATTCTTCTCAAAGGTAAAATTGCATTTCTTTTTATCTTGTCCTCAAATTTAATTAATCAGTTAACTAATTATTATTATTATAGGTTGTTCTGCCACTGATGGAAAAATATTTTTCGACTCATCGAAATTATTTTATAGCTGTTGCCACAGCGACTAATAATATAGGCGCCGCTAGTTTGAAAGAAAAAGAAATGGTAGCGGCGTTATTCTGTAAACTCGCCAGTCTTCTTAGAAGTCGGCTGTCTGCCTTCGGGGCAGATGTGCGCATAACTGTGCGTTGTCTCCAAGTGTTAGTCAAGTGCATCGATGCGAAAACACTGGTCAAAAACTGTCCCGAATTTATCAGGACATCGATGTTGACCTTCTTCAATAATACGGCTGACGACTTGACTCACACAATAACAAATTTACAAGAAGGAAAATATAGTCACTTACGTGGTACACATCTCAAGACTTCCACTTCATTATTTTACATAAATTCAGTGGTGTTACCTGTTCTAACTGCTATGTTCGATCATTTGGCCAATTGCGAATATGGAAGTGATCTCTTACTCGACGAGGTTCAGGTGGCTTCATATAAAATACTGGGAGCATTGTATATATTGGGTACTGATCCGAATTTGACTCACGATCGAAAATATTTGAAGACTGAAATGGAGCGGTACAAGCCAGCATTAGGATCTTGTTTAGGAGCATTCAGTTCCACTTTTCCAGTTGCTTATCTTGAGCCTCACTTAAATAAACACAACCAATTCTCTTTACTCAATAGAATTGCAGATCATTCATTAGAAGCACAAGGTAAGTTAATTTTTAACGTGTTATAGTTATTACTTATTTGTAAACATTATCAGACATAATGGCGAGAATGGAAAACATAATGCCAACATTAGAAACAGTTTTAAGCGAAGTAGATCAGTTCATTGAAAGTGAAAAGACCTATACAGACACTCCTCATATTATCGACGTGATAATGCCCATGTTGTGCTCATATTTGCCATTTTGGTGGAGTCAGGGACCAGACAATGTGAGTCCAACTGGTGGTAACCATGTCACAATGGTGACAGCCGAGCATATGAATCAGCTCCTTAAGAACGTCTTAAAATTGATTAAAAAGAACATTGGTAACGAAAATTCACCTTGGATGACGCGCATAGCTGCGTACACGCAACAAATAATCATCAACAGTAGCGAAGAGCTTCTGAAGGATCCATTTTTGCCATTAGCAGAACGAGTCAAAAAAAGAACTGAAATGTTGTTCCATAAGGAAGAGAGTTTGCGTGGATTTATCAAAAGTTCTACAGACGACACTTCTCAGGTAATTTTACCATATTAATTATTCATAAATAAAAAGCAACTTTTGCTTTATTTTCCCATGCTCAGTAATTCTGAAATTGTCTTATTTTCCTTAAAGATTGAAGCCCAGATTCAAGAAGATTGGCAACTTCTTGTAAGGGACATCTATTCATTTTATCCTTTACTCATCAAGTACGTGGATCAACAACGTATGCATTGGTTACGTCATAATGTAGTAGAAGCCGAACACTTGTACCATTATGTAGCAGACATATTTAATATTTGGTCTAAGTCTCAGTACTTCTTGCGCGAGGAACAAAATTTCATTTCGGCTAATGAAATTGATAATATGGTCTTGATCATGCCTACTGCCACAAGACGTACCGCGATTCCCGATGGCTCCCAACCCTCTGTTGGAAAGGTAAAGGTGAATATATTTATCTTTCCCTCCATTAATGAACTTTCAGCCAGCCGTGCATCACCCCCTCCTCACACTACCTCTGTAGTAGTAGTAGCATTGATGTAGTGTCGTAAGTAGAGTATATGCACGTCTGTGTGTCACTAGCTGCTTATTTTGTATGTTATTTTACAGCCTTTTAAATGTTTAAATATAGTATTGTTCCTATTATACCGATATGGTTCTATAACTGCAAAAAAGTACTGCGCGCCCCTGTTGTCAAATTTTACATATTTTTTTTTACTTAAAGAAGCTTAGATGAAGTTTTATTTAATTTTCTTTTTAACTTTTTATGATTACTCGCTTTTAACTAACTAAGCGATGTAAATATTCTTGGGGTAAAAAGGAATGCATATAGCGACTTGGGATGCAGAGTAGTAGGTTATAAAGAAAGAAATTTAGCTTTATTTAATATCTCCGTAAGCTCCCATTTGATGAATTAATTAGACTGTAATTTATTTAGAAAAAGAAGAAACATCGCGACAAGAAACGGGACAAAGACAAAGAAATACAGGCTTCCCTAATGGTGGCCTGTTTAAAACGTTTGCTACCAGTTGGTTTGAATCTTTTCGCTGGTAGGGAACAAGAACTTGTGCAACATTGTAAAGATCGTTTCTTGAAGGTGGGTGTAAAACAATAGCGTAATAATACTTTTACCTGTTAAATTTTCGCTTTGCAGAAAATGCCGGAGTACGATATTATCGATTTTGCTAAAACCCAACTCACTTTACCCGATAAAATTGATCCAGCCGACGAAATGTCATGGCAGCATTATCTCTACAGCCAGCTTGGTACCAAGAAAAGCATCGCGATCAGCACGGCTGTAGATAACAATGGTAAAAGTCAACTAGAGGAGACGGTGGAAAGGATAGTCGCTATGAGTAAAGTCTTGTATGGTTTACATATGGTAAGATTATACCATATGAAATTATAAATCAGATCTACTCATTTTTTAATTAGTAGAAATAAATTTATCGAAAATTCATCGGTGAAATACATTGAAAAATATTTAAGTAGCTGATTTAAATTTTTTACGATATTTTGCGTTTGCTTATACACTTTTATTTAAAGTTTGATTAGATTTATTATTTATTTCTTTCACTGTAGATTGATCATCCTCAGCAACAGCAAAAGGGCATACACCGCAGTGTTATATCAATGCAAAGAAAACGTGCTGTACTTTCATGCTTCAGACAGGCGTCGTTGCATAGTTTGCCGAGGTTTGCTCCTTTTTTGTATGTGTGGTTTGTGCACATGTGTATTATTGGACGTGAATGTGTATGTTTGACATTCATCTCGCTGTTAATATAGTTTTTTTGTTCAGTATCAATATTCTTTGCTAGTTAAGTCGATGCTTTTTCCATTGCTAACAAGTAATTTGTTTTATTATTAATACATTTAGTAGGAATCTAGAATGGGTAATTTCTAAAAAGAAAACTATTTCTCATCAAAAAATTGTTGTTATTTAAATTACCTATAAAAGACAGAAAAATTCAATAAGTAAAAGAAGTTTAGATCTGTATATGATACTAATAACGTTTGTTTACTTTTTATTTAACAAACTAACAGACAACAAACACCAAGCGATATAACAGTAATTGGGGGCGAGTCCTTAACGCTGCTAGAAAAAGAGCTGCTTTAGCTTGCTTAAGATGTTCCCCTATATACAAACTTAACAGGTTTGTACAGTACTTATTAATTTACCCACTTCTTATTTTCTTTTTTTTTTTTAATAAGTAAAGTTGATTAAAAACTATTACTCATGAAATATCTAGTACAAATAATTTTTACTGTCCTTATTTCAGACATCGAGCTATAAATATCTATATTCGTTCTTACTGTGAATTGTGGTTGCAAGATGAAAATACAGGTCAAGAAGTGATGATTGAAGATCTCACTCAGAGCTTTGAAGACGCTGAACTTAATAAGAAAGAGGCACAAGAAGAGGAAGGAAAACCTGACCCTTTGACTCAGTTAGTTACAACGTTCTGTAGGGGTGCCATGACTGAAAGATCTGGGGCATTACAGGTAAAATATATTTTAATATTTTGAATTACACTTTTATGTAAAATCTTCAAATATTTGATTTTTCAACAGGAAGATCCTTTGTACATGAGTTACGCAGAGATAATTGCAAAATCATGTGGCGAAGAGGAGGAAGAAGGTGAAGAAGAAGGAGGTGAAGGAGAAGAAGGCGGGGCATCTATACATGTAATTAATAATTTTATTTTTTAAAATATCAATATTGTTTTCAATAACTTCATTTTTAAACATTACATAAACACCTTTTGTTAATGCATAGAGGACAATTTATACCTTAATGGTATGTATTTTGCTATGTTTTGTTTATATATTATCGGTCACAATAATTCAAATATTTAATGCACAATTTCTTCACTCAAAATTAATAACTTAACAAAAAATTAGGAACAAGAAATGGAAAAGCAGAAACTATTATTCCACCAAGCCCGATTAGCCAACAGAGGCGTCGCTGAAATGGTTCTGCTACATATATCAGCATGCAAGGGGGTACCATCGGACATGGTAATGATGACCTTGCAGTTGGGTATTTCGATATTGCGCGGTGGCAACTCAGACATCCAGATGGGTATGCTTACTCATCTAAAAGAAAAGAAAGATGTCGGCTTCTTTACAAGCATAGCAGGTTTGATGAATAGTTGCAGCGTACTAGACCTTGACGCCTTTGAAAGAAATACTAAAGCTGAAGGCCTAGGTGTCGGATCTGAAGGTAAAAAAATAATATTGAACAACCGGTATCATTTTGTAACGTTATTATAAATCCACCATGAAGAAGTAATGTTGGTATTTACATTTTTATTTATTACAGGTGCCGCCGGTGAAAAGAACATGCATGACGCCGAATTTACATGTGCTCTATTTAGATTTATACAATTGACCTGTGAAGGGCACAATTTGGAATGGCAGAATTATCTTCGTACTCAAGCGGGTAATACTACAACCGTGAACGTAGTCATATGCACCGTAGACTATCTTTTGAGGCTGCAAGAATCAATTATGGACTTCTACTGGCATTATTCAAGCAAAGAGCTTATCGATCCAGCTGGTAAAGCAAACTTTTTCAAAGCCATTGGTGTCGCTAGTCAAGTTTTCAACACATTAACTGAAGTTATTCAAGGACCTTGTACTCAAAATCAACAGGCATTAGCTCATTCGAGGTAATAAACATTTAGCCTAAAGATAATAAGTACACTGAATCCAACGGTTCGTTTTCTTTACATTTTTCAGACTATGGGATGCAGTGGGAGGTTTCCTGTTTCTGTTCTCTCATATGCAGGATAAACTTTCCAAACATTCCAGTCAAGTCGATTTACTAAAAGAACTACTAAATCTTCAAAAAGACATGATAACCATGATGTTGTCAATGCTTGAGGGCAACGTAGTAAATGGAACGATAGGTAAACAGATGGTGGACACCCTCGTAGAAAGTGCATCAAACGTAGAATTGATTCTCAAATATTTTGACATGTTTTTGAAATTGAAAGATCTAACATCGTCGGCCAGCTTCCAAGAAATAGATATAAACAACGACGGTTGGATTTATCCCAAAGATTTTAAAGAGAAAATGGAACAACAAAAGAGCTACACACCTGAAGAAATTGAATTCTTGCTCATGTGCTGCGAAACGAATCATGACGGGAAAATCGATTACGTTGGTTTCATTGATCGATTTCACGAGCCGGCTAAAGAGATCGGCTTCAACTTGGCTGTATTACTAACGAACTTAGCGGAACACATGCCAAACGAACCCAGACTAGCGAGGTTCTTGGAGACAGCCGGTTCTGTCCTCAACTATTTCCAACCTTTTCTTGGACGTATTGAAATCTTGGGTAGCAGCAAACGTATCGAACGAGTCTACTTTGAGATAAAAGAATCTAATATTGAACAGTGGGAGAAGCCTCAAATTAAAGAATCAAAACGTGCATTCTTTTATTCTATAGTTACAGAAGGCGGAGACAAGGAGAAATTAGAAGCATTTATTAACTTCTGCGAAGATGCAATTTTTGAAATGCAACACGCCAGTGGACTCATGGCAATTGAAGATTCTGGAGGGCCAGGACAACAGCGAGCTACCAGTTATAATTATATGACCGAAGACGACTTCGACGGGTTTGTACATTTTTAGTAATCAGAGTTATTGTTAAAGGCTACTGAATTTTTATTTTTTAGAAAATCGAAAGATCCAATTCGAAGAGGCATTCAAGCAGTAAAAGACGGTATAAGGCATGGATTATCAGCCTTGAGCCCATCAAACCTAAAACACAAGTTTGCGGAGATGCAAAAAATGTCCTTCCTTGAACTTTTCGTCGGTTTTTTCAAATTGATCTTCTACGCGTTTTATTACTCCGGTTATGGCGTTTCTATCATTTTAGGGTGAGTGATAACTATAGTAATATTTATTTTACATAAAGCTTTATTTGAGTTAACATGTATACATTACACATCACATAGGTTCTTCTTCAAGATTCTAATGTTTTTGATGCGGGGTCCGCAAACGGAAGAACAAGTAATTGAAATTAAGGAAGAAGAGAAAACGGGACCGATGCGGGTGTTACCTGCTTTACCGGCAGCTTCTGAAGAACCTAACAACCAGGTGCAAGCATTTGGATTAGATATAGCAAAAGATGAAAACCAAATAAAATTGGCTCCACACGAGTCTCCGACTAGTACATCACCATCTTCAGGTACATGTGTATTGTTAAAGAAATAGTTAATATTGGTATATCTATATTAAATAGTAGATATCACAGCATCAATTTAAATTCGTTGAACGCGATCGATTGACTAGACTAAATAATAGTAAATAAATCATTGTAGCAGTATGGGGAAAGTTATAAAGAAAATTTGCAACTTATGGAAAGCAACGTAAACTGCACCTTTGCAATAAAAATAAATAAATTAATAAAATAAATTTTTGCCTGGGTTAATTTTTAANCTATTTAAAAACAATTCCTTTAAATTTTAATCATTGATTACTATACATCTATTAAAAAACCATAACCGACATCAGTGACAATGCGACAACAATTGAAAAAGATTGATGGCTGACAACAGCAACAATTAAAAAAGAATGATGGCCGACACTACGTCATAGTATTGTTCACAAAAGTGAATTTCGACCACTCGAAGCAATGGTGCTAACAGTTTCGAGCTCACAGTAACTTTTAGGGGGGAAGAACTAGTTCTAGATAAAACGAATAATTAATTCCAAGCATATTTTACTAGTGAATTTATTATAGTACTAGTCGTAATTCGTCCAAACTTAGACGGTAGTTCAAACCATTCCCACCAGAAACCCGTGCCATTTTTCAATTATTTTATATTGTATACTTTAATGTAAGTACGTATGTGTGTGCACCAATTATACATTTCAAACAAAAATTTAATGGTTGTCACTTATCATTAGAATGTATGCAGTATACACTTAAATGTATACATTTAGACCGTCCACTTTTTTCCTAATTGTTTTCTACCACCTACTGCTACGTCAAAATTAGTGATTTCTAAGTACGTCTGTGACACAATTCGATCTTTAAATTTATAATCTGCTACTCGCAGTTCCACAATATAATAAAGATTTGATTGCAGCAACCGTTATGATTGCAAGGCAAAAACGTTCTTTCGTTTTCATTCGCAAATATCTCTTAACCCGCTTGATAAAGTTCGATAAAATATTACAAAGATCTAGTTCTTAAACACAAATCGATTACCTTTATAGTATTTCCGTTTTTTTTTTTTTACATTTGTTAACCAAAAAATTATTTTCTACTGTTTTGTACACAACTAACTGAGTATAGCACAAGCAGACAAAGAAACCTACGCTAGAGAGCCTAGAACGTTTGTTATACATAAGAGAAAGTAACAAACTACATTATTTTTCCAGTGTTTTGTCTTCCATCTTTATAAAGGCGTAAGAGCTGGAGGTGGCATTGGTGATGAAATTGAACCACCGGACGGTGACGACTATGAAGTTTGGCGTATCCTATTTGATATCACTTTCTTTTTCTTTGTTATCGTCATTTTACTGGCTATTATTCAAGGTAAACTTGTTGTCTATAAATCAATAACTCGATAGATTTTTGCATCAAAGTGTTTGTTATTTTAATAATTACATTTTCAGGTTTGATCATTGATGCCTTTGGTGAGCTTCGTGATCAACTGGAAAGCGTAAAGGAAGATATGGAATCGAACTGTTTTATTTGTGGCATAGGAAAAGATTATTTTGATAAAGTTCCCCATGGATTTGATACACATGTACAACAAGAGCACAATTTGGCGAATTATATGTAAGCTGGATTATTTATTTAAAAGGTATCAACATTAGGTGGAGAAGAAAATGGTAGTGGAAATGGTAAAGAGTCAAATATAATTATATCAGGTGAAGGAAGTGGATCAGGTGGAGGAGAATCTTCTGAAGAAGAAGATGCAGTCGAACTGGTTCATGTTGATGAAGACTTTTATTACATGGAGCATGTTATGCGACTGGCGGCTCTACTTCATTCGCTTGTATCCCTCTGCATGCTGATAGCTTATTATCATTTAAAGGTTTGTGCTTGTTTTTTCAATGAAAAGGTGTGTTTTTACAAAAAGTGCCTTTTTTATTTGATCTTTATTTTAATCAGGTACCTTTGGCAATATTTAAAAGAGAAAAAGAAATAGCTAGACGACTGGAATTCGAAGGATTATACATTGCGGAACAACCAGAAGACGACGACTTAAAATCGCATTGGGATAAACTTGTAATATCAGCAAAGTGAGTAGTAGAATTGAAATAAATTGAAGGCTTTGATTCGAGTATGAAATATAACGTACAAATGAAATTTATTTTTAATTTAAAGGTCTTTCCCTGTTAATTACTGGGATAAGTTTGTAAAGAAAAAGGTGCGACAAAAATACAGCGAAACTTACGATTTCGAATCAATAAGCAATCTTCTAGGTATGGAGAAGACTTCATTCATGGCTCAGGATACTGAAGAAGGAAATAACAGCATTTTCTATTAGTAAGTGCTCATGTTGAGTGTGAAAATTAGTAACCATAATAGTATTTTGTGTGATTGTTAATAAACTATTCCGGTAAAAAATTGAAAAGAATTAGGTTTTTTCATTGTTAACGACAATAATTATGTAACCTATGACAGAATCTTTTACTTTCAGTCTTACCGAGTGGTGCAAAACATTAAATTCCAAAATAAAAAACGCTGTAATAAATTCGCCTACCTGTATATTAACACATTCTTCATTTCTTTTAGTTATTCTTTTTTATTTCTAGCATAATGAATATCGACTGGCGTTATCAAATTTGGAAAGGTGGTGTGACAATCACCGATAACTCTTTCCTTTATTCATTGTGGTACTTCACGTTTTCGATACTCGGTAACTTCAATTTGTTCTTTTTCGCTGCTCACCTATTGGATGTAGCTGTTGGTTTTAAAACTCTGAGAACGATCCTGCAGTCCGTAACGCACAATGGCAAACAGTTAGTATTAACGGTGATGCTATTAACAATCATTGTCTACATCTACACGGTGATAGCTTTCAACTTCTTCAGGAAATTCTACGTTCAGGAAGAGGACGAAGAGGTTGACAAAAAATGTCACGACATGCTTACGGTAATTGTTTCGATTTAAACATTATTAAGCTATTTTGTATTTTTAAGTTTTTTTCTCTTATGAACACATAAATTGAAATCACTTTTAAATATGCTTTAACAATTTCAGTAAATATTATATTTAAAAAAACTGCTCTCAGCACAGGGCAAAGTAGTATTACGTAAATGAAAGTTAGTATCAGCAATTTCTTATGCTGAGGTGTACAATGTGTTGCATACCTATTTAAAAATAATTCCTTTAAATTTTAATCATTGATTACTATACATCTATTAAAAAACCATAACCGACATCAGTGACAATGCGACAACAATTGAAAAAGATTGATGGCTGACAACAGCAACAATTAAAAAAGAATGATGGCCGACACTACGTCATAGTATTGTTCACAAAAGTGAATTTCGACCACTCGAAGCAATGGTGCTAACAGTTTCGAGCTCACAGTAACTTTTAGGGGGGAAGAACTAGTTCTAGATAAAACGAATAATTAATTCCAAGCATATTTTACTAGTGAATTTATTATAGTACTAGTCGTAATTCGTCCAAACTTAGACGGTAGTTCAAACCATTCCCACCAGAAACCCGTGCCATTTTTCAATTATTTTATATTGTATACTTTAATGTAAGTACGTATGTGTGTGCACCAATTATACATTTCAAACAAAAATTTAATGGTTGTCACTTATCATTAGAATGTATGCAGTATACACTTAAATGTATACATTTAGACCGTCCACTTTTTTCCTAATTGTTTTCTACCACCTACTGCTACGTCAAAATTAGTGATTTCTAAGTACGTCTGTGACACAATTCGATCTTTAAATTTATAATCTGCTACTCGCAGTTCCACAATATAATAAAGATTTGATTGCAGCAACCGTTATGATTGCAAGGCAAAAACGTTCTTTCGTTTTCATTCGCAAATATCTCTTAACCCGCTTGATAAAGTTCGATAAAATATTACAAAGATCTAGTTCTTAAACACAAATCGATTACCTTTATAGTATTTCCGTTTTTTTTTTTTTACATTTGTTAACCAAAAAATTATTTTCTACTGTTTTGTACACAACTAACTGAGTATAGCACAAGCAGACAAAGAAACCTACGCTAGAGAGCCTAGAACGTTTGTTATACATAAGAGAAAGTAACAAACTACATTATTTTTCCAGTGTTTTGTCTTCCATCTTTATAAAGGCGTAAGAGCTGGAGGTGGCATTGGTGATGAAATTGAACCACCGGACGGTGACGACTATGAAGTTTGGCGTATCCTATTTGATATCACTTTCTTTTTCTTTGTTATCGTCATTTTACTGGCTATTATTCAAGGTAAACTTGTTGTCTATAAATCAATAACTCGATAGATTTTTGCATCAAAGTGTTTGTTATTTTAATAATTACATTTTCAGGTTTGATCATTGATGCCTTTGGTGAGCTTCGTGATCAACTGGAAAGCGTAAAGGAAGATATGGAATCGAACTGTTTTATTTGTGGCATAGGAAAAGATTATTTTGATAAAGTTCCCCATGGATTTGATACACATGTACAACAAGAGCACAATTTGGCGAATTATATGTAAGCTGGATTATTTATTTAAATTTTAAAATTAAAACAACGGATTTATTTAACATTTAAGTTCTCCACGTTTCTGCTTCCAATATACAGAACCTACATAATTTTTTCTTGTTTCGTAGGTTCTTCCTTATGCACTTAATTAATAAACCGGATACGGAATATACCGGTCAAGAAACTTACGTTTGGAATATGTACCAACAACGTTGTTGGGACTTCTTCCCTGTAGGAGATTGCTTCCGTAAACAATACGAAGATGAACTAGGCGGAGGAGGTGGTTAAAATACAATCCACATATATTAATTAAAACGAACGTTTTTAATGTGAGAATATCCCACACACAATACTAGGTAATTTTT